AATATGGGGGCGGGGCGGGGCGGCGTGACGCGACGCGGCCGCGTCCGTCGGCTGGCGCGCGGCCTCGCAGACACTCGGAGATTAGATGGTGGGACTCTACCTGTGGACAGGTTAATTTCGGTCGCCCTCTGCCTATGCCCGAGGACACGGAACTGAGGCAGCTGAACTTCGTTGGAGATACCTACTGATTTAGTCCCGGCGTGCCATTTGTATCGAATATCGCGCATTGTGTATCCAACTGCGAGTAGACAGAAAAGAAAAAGAGAGAGACACAGAGGGTTGTAAAATTATCAATCTCATGTTTCCGCTTTTGGTTCTTAAAAAGGGGCTTAAAAGTTCATTCCTAGAATTAAGTAGGTTCATACAGCTAAATAAAAATCCAATGCAATTAGAGCTTTGCTTTTAAAATTAACTCTATCACAAATCTTTTCTTTTCTTTCTACCATTCAATCTACAAAAATCCAATAATGATGATAATAATAGAATTAAATATAATAATAAGAATAATGATAATAATAAGAATAATAATATAAAGTGGGAATGGAGAAAGAAACGAGGAGCGACAACGTAACACTAGCGGCGCGAGGACCTGCGGGCGGCGCTGGGCCGGCGAGGGGCTGCGCGGAGGGGAAGCGACGCGCCAGACTGCACGTCCCGCTGCAGGCCACTCTCCGCTCACAGCGCGAACGCATGCCAGCGAGACCGGCGCCGAGGCAGGTTCATTGCAGCTCTGGGGGGACGGGGACGCGATAGAAAAGCCTGGACTGCGCACCCTCCGCAAAACGGGGCAGGAGTTTTCCAATGGATCCTCGAACTCTCGTTATCAACGACACAGATTGGTTTGACATTACTTATCTCATATCTTGAGTTTAGTACATTCAAATAATTTTATAATTTCTTTTTTTTAATTCGAGAGAAGTTTGAGTAATCTCTAATATTACGATATGTTAAATCAAAGAAGAGAAATGAGAAGATTAATTTTCTTTCAAGAAATGCTAATTTTAGGGAGGGTGTCAAGGAGAAAACTCCCTCTATTTAAACGTTTCGAGAGTTATTTCGGAACCGGAGCAAAATAACGTTCCACGACAGCGGTTGTTTCGTCACTGCAGTCTGTGCTTCGTCTCCCAGCGCAGCAGCCGCTCTCAATGGCAGGGCCCCTCGGCACGGCGAGCGGCC